AAGAAAAGCCCATCTCCTCCAATTCGTCCCCCGCCACCTCAAAGCAAAAGTGTCCGCCGCCACGGAACCCTCCCCCACGCAGTGCCCCTCCCCCTCCCAAGGCCAAGCTTTCCCCACCTCCGCCCCCCAAGAAAAACCCACCTCCTCCAACTCGTCGCCCGCCACCTCCGAAAAGCCCCGTGCCTCCCCCACCACGCTCAAAAGCAAATCCCCCCCCGCCGCGGCGGGCCCCGCCTCCACCCCCTGTGAGGCAGTGCAGGTCGACCTCCGATTGCCCCACGAATAAAGGCTGCTGCACCGAAGAGTCTACGGGCAAAGTTGGTGAGTGTATCTCACAAGGGTAGTATAGATATCTCAAAAGAACTTGTTGACCTAAGGTTGACAATTTATCAGATTTGACAATCTGTGCGTGTTCCATGCACAAGCTGGTTGTTTGCTAAGTGATATCGAAAGAGTTGTGTGATCTCTTTCATTATTTGCTAGCTCCTTCATTCCATTCGTAACGTTTGCAAAGACATAGATGGCTGCCAGTGATCCTGGCTGCCTCTTTTTGGACACGTCGTTACGTTGGAATTCCAGTTGCATGTGCAACTCGCTGTGCTTGAAATGAAAAGCACTACTACCCTGGCTTAGATTTAAGACATTCTGAGTTAACTCAGAGGATTCGGAGATATCACCAGGCACCCATTATGCACTATCAAAGAAAGGCCTTCTTTTCGTGGTTCTCTTTCAATAACTGTTGCGTATTTACATTTAGATCTTTTCTCAGAAAGAAGACTCGCTCTTCTCATTGCTATGGTTTTTTTGACCTCTCTTACTCTCCGTTGCTTCATTAGAGCTCGAATGAAGAGCATCGAAGTACTTCCAAGCTTCTTCTTCTTCTCTGGCAGCGCGTCCTTCATAAACGTCTTCTATCTCCGACCCTGACAATCGTGTCCACCCCTTTCCAGGCGTTTGCACAAATGTGCCAGTATTGTCAAATGGAACCCAGGTCTGCTACAGCTGCAATTATTTCAACGGGCCGACCTGCCCTCCTGAATTCGGAGTATGCTGCTCCGACGGAGAGTGCAGAGCGTCGGCCAATGAGTGCACCTGTTTCTACACCTCATCCGACTGTCCAACAGGCCATTGTTGCAACCACGACTACTTTACGAGCTCTTCAGGTGCGCGACCCAAGGTCTATGAGACGAGCAAGGAGTTTACCCGCTAGCAGCATGATGGGGCCCCCTGTTGCGTGCTCAGAGAAATGACGCGTTGAATCTGCGCAGGGATCTCTTCAAGTGGGTTATCGTTCAGCTTCGAAGTTTCAAAATCTCTAGGCCTTCAAGCTGAAGTCTCTTGTAGAAAGAGTGAGGAGTGACACACGTGGTTCAATACCTAGGGCGCAGACGCTAGCAAGGTGTGCAATGTGTCTCATGCAAAACATTGATGAGTTGCAGTTGGCTTCTAGACCGAAACTGATCAAGGTGTTTGCTCTTTCTTGTGAGAAGTTGCCCACAATTTCTATGTCTTTTCTCCGGCAGGTTTCTGTACCGATATGCCAGTCCTTTCGAACGGCACCCAGGTTTGTTTTGACTGTCATGATTTCAACGGCCTCGTCTGCCCTGACAACAAGGCTTTCTGCTGTCCCGACGGAAAGTGCGCTGCAAACGAGAGTGCATGCACCTGCCAATCCTCAGATTCATGCCCCGCTGGGTATTGCTGTACTGGATCGAACGGTGTCGATGGTAAGCGTTGTCACGCTTGGGCTTGTTCTTGTTCTGAAGGTTTCGACTGAATACATGTGACTTGTTTTGCAAGTGAACAGGCTCTTCGAGGTTGGCCAGTGGCATGCACGTTTGAGGTGCAAGCTTTCGAGAAGGGCGTTCTGTTGGTCTTGCTAGTTGCTGCTACCACTTCGCCATTTGTACGCACCTGTTACGACACGAAAGTCCTTGCAAATGGCATACAGGTCTGCCCGCAATGCAATAACTTCAACGGTCTCAGCTGCCCGACTTCCAAACCGTTTTGCTGCCCCAACCACGCAGAATGCGGCGCGAGTGAGAGCGGTTGCAAGTGCGAAGCCTGCACCTGCGACTACCTTAGCGAATGCCCCACCGGTTTCTGCTGTACTGAAGCGAGCCCCGGCCAGACAGGTGTGTTGCGTCGTTGCCATCCGTCTGATCAAGATGTCGTCAGGAAGGTCGGCTCCTCAGTGTAGATCTCTATGCATTGATGATGCGGCGGCTAGGACGTTTGACGGTTTCTGAAACGTTTCTCTGAACACCTTTGGTCTATACCATGGCAATCCTAGCGCCGCCTATCAGGATCTTTGAGTCCCTTACGAGGATGAAACGCCGTTGGATTCCCTTGCTATTCTTAGAGCTTCGGTCATTTGGGACCAACTTGACGTTGGCAACCATTTCAAACGTCGAGGGCCAAGCTCCCGCTGGATTGAGACGATGCGAAAGGGTGTTGTGAGTGCGTTACCCCGTGCAGAATACCTGGAGAATCAATTTGAGATCTCGCCGATAGCTATGGGCAGCCAACTAAGTCCTGCACGCTTCCTGTCCAGATTGCCACCTTGAAGGGACAGTACACGTCTGGCTTTTTGGATTTTTCCCAAGCTGGGGTGGTCTTTCATCTCGCAATCTTTGGCAATCTGGTTTTTAGCTCTTCTCATCTGATGATCGGACTTTCACCTTCTTGTCCCAAATCAACATGATCCAAAGACGCGTGTCCCTGCAGGGAGGTGCACGAACGCGCCCATCAACAGCAGCGGCAAGCAGGTTTGTCCAAATTGCAACTATTGGAACGGGCTGAGCTGCCCCGCTGGCAAAGGAACGTGCTGCGCAAATTCAGGGCAGTGCGTTGCATCTCCAACCTCCTGTCCATGTGAAGGCTCCTACGATTGCCCCTCCAACACTTGTTGCAGCACCGAGTACGAGTCCGACAACTTGAATTACAAGCAGGGTGAGTATAAGCTCAATACTGTAGCCGTGAGTACAATAACGTGATGACTGAGCGTAGGCCTGAAGTGTAACCCGGATAAATCCTAAGCGTACTCCACTTTGTTACCAGTGAGAGCTCCGAGTCTGACAACCTGCTGGTGGGGTGCCTCCGCTGAAGGCCTGCTTCGTTGATGATCTCGAATGGCGGAAACCTATTTCAATGGTGGCCCACTCGGGCAAAGTCAAGCCCGGGTCGAGGGTCGCGTTCTCACTTTCTGCTTCCTGTGTAATTGCTTCTTTCTTCACTCCTCCGAGATTGCAAGCTGACTCGATCTTGTGTCACACAGGTATTGAGATTTTAGATGAGCTGTCAGTGCAAGAGAGTTGTTTCTCCAACATTAACCCTCCAGGAATTGCGCAAAATGTTCGATGTCGATCGTTGTTTCCAAATGTGTTGCAAGTATTTCGTTGTACGATCCTCTTCGTGTCCGGAATTTTGAGCCGCCACCTCAGACCTGCTGCACCCTCTCACGACCCCGGGTCGACGTCATTTCTGCAACCACCACTGAATTTGATAGCCTTTCTGACCGGTGACCACTTGCAAGTTGCAAAAACTTGCAAAATTCTCATCTGATTGTAATTCGTGGCTCGTGGTTTTCAATTCTGGCTCGATCGCTTTCACACCGTTCGCAGATTGGCAACAGCGACAAGATCAGGCAAAGTGTCTGATTGAAAGCTCCTCCTTTACCACTCGTAGGTACCTGTTACAAGAGAGCAGTCCTTGCAAACGGCACACAAATCTGCCCGAACTGCAACCTCTTCAACGGTCTCAGCTGCCCCGCTTCTAAACCAACGTGCTGCCCCGCGTCAGGAGAGTGCGCTGCAAATGAGAGCGCATGCACCTGCGAATCGTCCTATTCATGCCCCGATGGGTTCTGTTGTACTGGATCGAACGGTGTCGATGGTAAGCATTGTCATGCTTGGGCATGTTTCAAAAGATAAAGGTTCTGATTGATTACCGGTGACTTGTTTTACGAGTGATCATACTCTCTGAGATTGGCTTGGCATGAACGTACTTTGAAATGCAAGTTTTCGAAAAGGGCTTTCTGTTGGTCTTGCGCTAGTTGCTGCTACCACTTCGCCATGTGTAGGCACCTCTTACGGCACGCCAGTCCTTGCAAATGGCACACATGTCTGCCCGCAATACAATATCTTCAACGGTCTCAGCTGCCCCGCTTTCCAACCGTTCTGCTGCCCAACCGTGCAGAATGCGCCGCTGGTGGAAGCGGTTGCAAGTGCGGACGCTGCCCCTGCCAGTACTCCAGCCAATGCCCCACCGGTTTCTGCTGTACTGAGGAGGGCTCCGGCCAAACAGGTGCGTTGTGTCGTTGGCCTCCGTCTGTCAAGGTGTCTTTAGGAAAGTCGGCTCCTCACCTGTTGATCCATAAGCATTGACGATGTGACGGCTAGGACGCAAATTGATTTTTTCTTGGACGTTTCTGTGAATACCTTCGGTCTATCATTCGGTGACCAATCCCAGCTCCGTCTTCCAGGATCTTGGAGCACGTTGTGAGGATGAACGCCGTTGGGTTTCCCCCGCCATTCTGAGTAGAGCTTCGGTCATTTTTGGACCAACTTGACATTGCTGATCGTTTCAAAACTTCGTGGGCCAAGCTTCCGTTGGATTGAGACAATCCGAAAGGGTGCTGTGAATGCGTTACCCCGTGCATAATACCTAGGGAATCAGTTTGATCGCCGATAGCTACTGGCAGCCAAGCGAAGTCTTGCACGCTTCTTGTCCAGATTGCCACCGCCACCTCGAAAGGAAAGTACTCGTCTGGCTTTTGGATTTTTCCTAAGTTGGGGTAGTCTTTCATCACTCGAATCTTTGGCAAAAATAAAAAAATGCATTCTAAAATGTGCAGTAGACTTCTACCTTCTTGTCCCAAGCCAACATTATTGAAAGACGTCTGTCCTTGCAGGGAAGTGCACGGACGCGCCCATCGACAGTGGCGGCACGCAGGTGTGTCTAGACTGCAACGATTGGGACGGGCTGAGCTGCCCGGCCGGCAAAGGAACGTGCTGCGCAACGGGGCAGTGCGTCGCATCAGGAGCCTCCTGCCCATGCTTCGGCTCCGACAACTGCCCGGACAACACTTGCTGCAGCCGCGAGTACGAGTACGACTACGACGACTACGAGTACTACCGTCCCAAGCAGGGTGAGTATAACCCCAAAGCTCAGCACGATAATGTGATGGGTTAGCGTAACCCTGAAGTGTAACCTTGATTCAATCCTGAGCGCATTCCACGTTGTTACCAGTGAGCGCTTCGGTTCTGACCCTCCCTGCTGGGGGGGTGCCTCCGCTTGAAGGCCTGCTAATTTGCGCGGATACCTCGAACAGGGGGAATTGTGTACTGATGCAGGCCCTAGCCGGGCAAAGTCTGGCACGAGTTGAGGTTCCCGTTTATTTCTGCTGAGTGTGTGATTGCGTCTTTTTTCACTCCTCCGAAGTTGCAAGCTGATTCCATCTCGTGTCACACACGATTCTCTAGTCAAAAACTTATGAGATGTCAGTGCGGGAAGAATTCTTTTCCAACATCATCCTCCAGGATTTGCGTTGAATACTATGTCGATCGTCTTTTCCAAATATGCTGCAAATGTTTTCAGTACGATCCTCCTCGTGACAGAAAAGCTCGAGCCGTCACCCAGAAATGTTGCGCCCTCTGACAACCCCGGATCGACGTCATTTGAAACTCTGACATCCTGAACTTTTCAACCATCCCTCACTTTTAGGACCTTTTTGACCGGTGACCACTTGCTCTCAATCGATTGCATTTTGTCGCTCATGATTGCATTTCTGGCTTGATCGCTTTCACACCGTTTAAAGATTGGCAAAGGCGACAAGATTCCGACAGATTGTCTGATTGAAATTCTCCTCTTCGCCGCTCGCAGGTACCTGTTATGGCTCGCCATTCCTTGGAAACGGCACACAAATCTGCCCAGACTGCAACAATCTGAACGGTCTCAGCTGCCCTGCCGGCAAAGGAACGTGCTGCCGGACAGGGGAGTGCGTTGCGTCAGGAATTACCTGCCCATGCAGAGGCGCCTCCGATTGCCCGGTCAACACTTGCTGCAGCAGCAATTCCGAGTACGATCCCGACACCGGGGATTTAAAGCGGGGTGAGTATAACCCTAAAGCTGCAGTCGCGAGTACAATAACCTGATTGGTTGAGCGTAACCCTGAAGCATAACCCCGGAAGAATCCTAACGTACTCCATGATGTTACCGGTAAGAGCTCCGAGTCCGACAACCTGCTGGTGGGGTGCCTCCGCTGAAGGCCTGCTAAGTTGGGCGGATACCTCGAATAGGGGAGTGTTGTACTGATGCCCAGTCGGGCAAAGTCAACCACGAGTCGAAGGTCCCGTTCTCAATTTCTGCTGCTTGTGTGATTGCGTCTTTTTTCAATCCTCTGAAGTTGCAAGCTGATTCGATGTCGTGTCTCACAAACTTTTTGGATTGTTAGGTAGGCTGTCAATGCAGACGGAGCTCTTTTCAAACTTTACCCCCTTAGGAACTGCTATGAAGGATATGTCAATCCTCTTTTCCAAGTATGCGGGAAGTCTTTCGTCTACGATTCTCTAAGTTGTGTCCGGGATTCTGAGCCGCCACATCAGGCTTGCTGCACCCTCTCACAACCCCGGATCGAGGTCATTTCTTCAAGCATCGCTCAATTTGATAGCCGTTTCGACCGGTAACCACTTCTTCTCAAATGATCGCAACTCGTGGCTCATGGTTTTCATTCCGGCTCGATCGTATTCACACCTTTCACACATTGGTAAAAGCGACAAGATCGGGCAAAGTGTCTGTTTGAAATTTTCTTCTTTCCCGCTCGTAGGTACCTGTTACAACACGCCAATCCTTGCAAACGGCACACAAATCTGTCCGGAGTGCAACCGCCTGAACGGTCTCAGCTGCCCCGCTTCTAAACCAACGTGCTGCGCGTCAGGAGACTGCGCTGCAAACGAGAGCGAATGCCCCTGCCTGTCCTCATATTCATGCCCCGATGGGTTCTGCTGTTATAGATCGAACGGTATTGATGGTAAGCAATGTGACGCTTGGGCTTTTTCTAATTGGTGAAGGTTCTAATTGATTGCCTGTGACTTGTTTTACGAGTGATCAAACTCTTAAAGATTGACTTGGCCTACACGTACTTTTGAGGGTTCAAGGTTTCGAGAAGGGCGTTCTGTGGGCCTTGCTAGTCGCCGCTACCACTTCGCCGTGTGTAGGCGCCTGTTATGACGTGACACGCCAGTCCTTGCTTATAGCACAGTGGCACACAAGTCTGCCCGCAATGCAATAACTTCAACAGCCTCAGCTGCCAGGCTCTCACACCGATCTGCTGCCCCAATCACGCAGAATGCGCTGCAAATGAGAGCGGTTGCAAGTGCAAAGTCTGCACCTGCACGTACTCCGGCCAATGCCCCATTGGTTACTGCTGTACTGAGGAGAACTCCGGCCAAACAGGTGCGTTGTGCCGTTGGCCTCCGTCTGATCAAGATGTCTTCAGGAAGGTCGGCTCACTTGTCAATCCATAAGCATTCACGATGTGGTGGCTAGGACGACGCAATTTGATGTTTCCTTGGACATTTCTCTAAATACCTTTGGTCTATCGTATGGCAATCCCAGCGCCGCCTTTCGGAACCTGGAGCACGTTGCGAGGATGAAACACCGTTGGGTTTTCCCCGCCATCATTAGTGGAGCTTCAATTCGGTTATTTCTGGACCAACTTGACGTTGCTAACCATTTCAAAATGTCGAGGGCCAAGCTTCCGCTGGATTGAGACGATCCGAAAGGGCTTTGTGAATGCGTCACCCCGTGCAAAATACCTAGAGAATCACGTTGATCGCCGATAGCTACGGGCAGCCAACCAAAGTCTTGCACGCTTCCTGTCCACCTCGAAAGGAAAGTACTCGTCTGGCTTTTTGGATTCTTTTCAAGTTGGGGTAGTCCTTCATCACTCAATCTTTGGCAACCTGGTTTTTCGCATAATTTCTAAAATACTCAATAGACTTCCACCTTCGTGTCCCCAGGCAACATGATACAAACACGCGTGTCCTTGCAGGGAAGTGCACGAACGCGCCCATCGACAGCGGCGGCACGCAGGTGTGTCCAGACTGCAACGATGATTGGAACGGGCTGAGCTGCCCGGCCAGCAAAGGAACGTGCTGCGAAACGGGGCAGTGCGTCGGATCAGAAGCCTCCTGCCTGCCATGCAGAGGCTCCTACGATTGCCCGGACAACAATTGCTGCAGCCGCGAGTATGAGTACGACTACGACACCGGGAGTTACGCGCAGGGTGAGTATAACCAAAAGCTGCAGTGTGATTACGATGGGCGAACGTAACCCTGAAGTGTGACCCCGGATGGATCCTAAGCGTACTCCACGTTGTTACCAGTGTCAGGCTTTTAGGGTTTTTGGGTGTCAGGGGTTTTAGGGATTGAGAGCTCCGAGTCTGTAAACCTGCTGGTGGGGTGCCTCCGCGGACGACGTGCTTCGTTGCGCGGATGACCCCGAACAGGAGAACTGTCTACCGATGCCCAGCCCGGCAGAGTCGGGCGCGAGTCGAGGGTCCCCTTCTCGCTTTCTGCTCCTTGTGAGATTGCGTTTCTTTTCACTCCTCCGAGGTTGCAAGCTGATTCGATGTCGTGTCACACAAATTTATTTGATTATATTCCCTCTCAGATGAGCGGTCAGTGCGGGAGAATACTTTCTCAACATGAACCCTCCAGTAATGCTCAGAATATCGTGTCGATCGTCTTTTCCAAATTTGCTGCAAGCAATTTGTGTCCGATCCTCCTCGTGTCTGGAAATTTCGAGCCGCCACCCTAGACTTGCTGCACCCACTCACGACCTCGATTCGACGTCATTTCTTTCAACCGTCGCTCAATTTCCATAGCCTTTTTGACTGGTGACCACTTGCTCCTGATCAATCGCAATTTGTGGCTCTTGCTTTGCAATTCCGGCTGGATCGCTTTCACACCGTGCTCAGATTGGCAAAAGCGAAGTTCCGGCAAAGTGTTTGATTGAAATCCTTCTCTTTTCCGCTCGCAGGTACTTGTTACACCACGCCAGTCCTTGCAAACGGCACACAAGTCTGCCCGAACTGCAACTATTGGAGCGGGGTGGACTGCCCTGCCGGAAAAGAAACGTGCTGCGCAACGGGGCAGTGCGTCGCGTTGGGAACCACCTGCCCATGTAGAGGCGCCTCCGATTGCCCGGAAAACACTTGCTGCAGCCGCGAGTACGAGTACGACTTCGGGGGTTACAAGCAGGGTGAGTGTAACCCAAATCTGCAGTCGCGAGTACAATGACCGAATCGGGTGAGCGAAACCCTAGAGCGAACCCCGGATGAATCCTAAGCATACTCGACGTTGTTACCAGAGAGAGTTGCAAGTCTGGCAACCTGCTGGTGGAGTACCTCCGCCGAGGGCCTGCTTCGTTGCGCGGATGACCTCCAACAAGGGAACCGTATACTGAAGGTGGCCCAGTTGGGCAAAGTCAGGCACGAGTCGAGGGTCCCGTCCTCACTTTCTGTTGCTTGTGTGATCGATTCTTTTTTCGCTCCTCCGAAGGTGCAAGCTGACTCGCTCTCGTGTCACACAGATTTTTCGAATTCTTACAGATGAGCTGTCAGCGGAAAACAATTATTTTCAACATTCGCCCTCCAAGATTTGCGCTGGATGTTGAGTCGATCGTCTTTTCCGCACATGCTGCAAGTATAGCGTTTACGATCCGCTTCGCGTCCGGAATCTTGAGTTCAGACCTGGTGCACCCTCTCACGACCCCGGATCGACGTCATTCCTTTAGCCATCGCGCAACTTGATAGCCCTTTTCACTGGTGACCACTTGCTTTCGATTGATTGCAATCTGTGGCTCGTGGTTTTGATTTTGGCTCGAGTGCTTTTACACCGTTCACAAATGGGCAAAAGCGACAAGATCGGGCGAAGTGTCTGATTGAAATCTACTCGTTGCCGCTCATAGGTACCTGTTACAACACACCAGTCCTTGCAAACGGCACACAAATCTGCGCGGACTGCAATTTTCTGAACGGACTCAGCTGCCCCGCTTCTAAACCAACATGCTGCCCGCTCGGAGAATGCGCTGCAAACGAGAGCGCATGCACCTGCCAATCGTCGGATACATGCCCCTCCGTTGATTTATGTTGTATTGGATCGAACGGTGTCGATGGTAAGCGCTGTCACGCTTGGGCTTGTTTGAAATGATGAAGGTTTCCAAGGATCGATCGCCTGTGGCTTGTTCTGCAAGTGATCAAACTCTTCAGTTTGTCTTGGCATGCACGTACTTTTGAGGTGCAAAGTTTCTAGAAGGACGTTATGTTGGTCTTGCTAGTTGCTTCTACCACTTTACCATTCGTAGGCACCTGTTACGACACGCCAGTCCTTGCAAATGGCACACAGGTCTGCTTGCAATGCAATTACTTAGAATGGTCTCAGCTGCCTGGCTTCCAAACAGTTCTGCTGCCCCCGTCACGCAGAATGCGCCGCGAATGAGAGCGGTTGCAAATGCGGAACCTGCCCCTGCGAGAACTCCAGCCAATGCCTCTTCGGTTTCTGCTGTACCGAAGAGGACTCCGGCGAAACAGGTGCGTTGTGTCGTTGGCCTCCGTCTAATCAAGATGTCTTTAGGAGAGTCGGCTTCTCACTTGTTAATCCATAAGCATTAACGATGTGGCGGCTAGAAGGACGCGATCTGATGTTTCCTTGGACGTTTCACTAAACACCTTTGGTCAACTATGGGACTCTCAGCGCCGCCTATCAGGATCTTGGAGCAAGTTCCGAGGTTGAAACGACGTTGGGTTTACCGCACCATTCTTAGAGCTTCGGTCATTTTCGGACCAACTTGAAGTTTGCTAACCATTTGAAAACGTCGAGAGCCAAGCTTCCGCAGGATAGAGATGATGCGAAAGGGTGCCATTAATGCTTTACCCCGTTAGCGATGCACTTTGATCACCGATAGTCAACCAACCAAGTCTTGCAAGCTTCCTGTCCGACTTGCCACCCTGAAGGGACATTCCTCGTCTGGCTTTATGGATATTTTTCAGGTTGGGGTAGTCTGTCATCAATCAATCCGGTCTTTGGCTCTTCTCCTCCAATCATTAAACTTTTACCTGCTTGTCCCCAGCCAACATGATTCATCGACGCGTGTCCTTGCAGGGAGGTGCACGAACGCGCCCATCAACGGCAGCGGCATGCAGGTGTGTCCAGACTGCAATTACTGGAACGGGCTGAGCTGCCCCGCCAGCAAAGGAACGTGCTGCTTATCGGGGCAGTGCGTGGCGCCGGATTCTTGCCCATGCACCGACGGCTGGGATTGCGCGTACAACACTTGCTGCAGCCGCGAGATTGAGTACGACAACACCGGGAATCTCAAGCAGGGTGAGTGTAACACAAAGCTGCAAAACTCCAAAACTGCAGCCGAGTGTATGATAACCTGATGGGTGAGTGTAACCCTGAAGTAAAAACCCGGATGGATTCGAAAGTACTCCACGTTGTTATGATTAAGAGCTCCGAGTCTGACAATCTGCTAGTGGGTAACCTCCGCCGAATGCCTTCTTCCTTGCGCGGATGACCTCGAATAGGGGATTGAAGGTGGCCCAGTGGGCAAAGTCAGGCACAAGTCAAGGGTCCCGTTTTCACTTTGTGCTGCTTGTGCGATTGCTTCTTTCTTTAGTCCTCCGAAGTTGCAAGCTGATTTGATCGTGTCACACTGATGTGTCTGAATCATTAGATGAGCTGTCAGTGCAAATAATCTATTTCAACATTAACCCTCCAGGAATCGCGCTGAATGTTATGTCGATCGTCGTTTTCAAATATGATGCAAGCAGCTTCGTGTACGATCCTCTTCGCCTCCGGAAAGTTTGAGCCGCCACCTCAACATTGGCTGCACACTCTCACGACCCCGGATCGAAGTCATTTCGTCGACCATCGCTCAATGTTGATAGCCTTTTTGACCGGTGACCATCTGCTCACTGTCATTGATCGCTTTTTGCGGCTCATAAATTCAATTCCGGCTCTATTGCTTTCATAAACGCAGTCCACACGTTGGTAAAAGCAACAAGGTTGGACAAGGTGTCAGTTGGAAATCTTCTTCTTTGCCCCTCGTAGGTACCTGTTACGACACGCCAGTCCTTGCGAACGGCACACAAGTCTGCCCGGACTGCAACTACTTCGACTTCTACGGTGTCAGCTGCCCCGACTCTAAATCAACGTGCTGCCCGTCAGGAAGGTGCGCCGTGAGCCTTGGAGGCTGCGGGTGAAAGACGCATCCCAGTGCCCGAGGAGGAGAGTGGCTAGCTCGGTGAGCCCTGCCTTATTGCGAAAGCAGTGTTCATATCTTCAAGTTTCGCATCATCCCTGTTGCAGCAGAGAAAAAGGACAGGGGGACTCTGAGGTCCCTGTATGTTCAGCCGCAATGGTACTCAGGTTGCAAGAGATGGGGGGGGGCTTGAGAAGCGCATAAGCGGCCACCCCCGGCCCCAAGTGGACAAATCAAGGCGGCGACTTGCACTTTCCGGCTTCTAGCAATGTCATCTCAGGTCTGGATTCTCAGGGTTCTGGGTTTACAAACGTTGACAGCGCGACTTGCGAAGTGAGGCGATTCTGCTTGATTGGAAGCGCCTTGGTTTTTGTTGACTGTTTGCTTTTGTTGTGTTGGTAATCCTTTTGTGCCGCCGACGATCCGACCAGCCTGTACCCAAATTAGCGAAAAGAGAGGCCACCGTTAACCAGGCTGGTCTAGCCTAGCTTAGTTGTTGACTTCGATCAGCCCACCAGAAGCTTATCAATGTCTGGTTTCAAAGCACCGGCTCACCGACCATGACTGTAAACGAGATTAAATTGTCAGCTTCTTTAATGGTTTGGCCGAACACCACCCGAATCACTCGCGTCAGATCAATGACCCCTTTCACGCTTATGAATTGTTCCGTTTCAAGGCCTAGCCGACTCGGTTTCAGCACCCGACGAAGATTGCCTTTTGGTCCAAGTATATCGACTTTGACAATCAAACTTCCCTGGCTAAATGAATGCCAGGACAGCTCGCCGGGGGCAAACTCCGTACCCTTCAAAACCGTAATGATCCTGGTAAGCTGCTACGTACTGACGCGGTTGCCTTTCTTCTGCAGCGAAGGGGCCCTCGGAGGACCGGCTGGATTGCTGTTAGTGAATGGCAACCGAGTCGATGTGCTTACACCTAGATTTCTACTACCATATGTCTGGGGTCCGAAACGGACCTTGGAACGTGTGTTTCTTGTGACGAACCCCAGTGGTTAGGAGCAGATGCAACTCTTTGATGCGCTTTCTTTGTTTTGTTTTGATGCATGTTACAGGTTTCTCAGCTACTATACAAGTGCATCATAGTACAATAAGGAATTTGTAATGTTGTGACTATACCGTTAGCCATTCTCCTCCTTTGGTTATTTACCAGCCAGGAGCTATTGTGAATGAGTTTGAGGACCATGCAGGAGTTAATAGTAGCATCAGGTCTGTTGGCCGGAGGTGTCGTCACTAACTTATATTACCGTGAGCTATTTCTGATTAGATTCCTTTTCTACCATTTAGTTGCTAGCATCACGTTCAATTGATTGGCAGTGGATGAGATTAGCATCACGTTGGTCGTTAGCGTTCACGAACAACATTGACGCATGATCTTGTTTTTTTTTTTTTTTTGAAACCACTCAGTTTACCTTCATTCGAAGTATCAACACACAATGAACCGGGTGTTGATGCATGACGTGGTGCATGAGATCGGATCATGATGCGAGATAAAAGATGTACTCTTCAAATTTATTATTGATGTGCACCGTCGTGCAGCGCGGCCGCCTGATACAGACCGAGGCCACATCATTGCATACATGCACGTATATACTTTGAGACCAAGTACTGTACTTGAATACATGGACGGACAAAGGCCGCGCGGTTCAACGATACATACATACATACTTCTTTAAAAGGCCGTAGCAGTTAAGCCATGGACCTGAAAATGCTGGACAACCTGTAATCGATGAGTCCGGGGCGTTCAGTTCGACGAGCTATAACTACTCAATCCATACTACCTTTCTATTCCTACATGCTGTTTATATTCTGCTTTTCTTCTAGTAGATTTTACCCAATCGTTACGGCCGTGATCAACGTCTTGCAGTTAGCTAAAACCGTTATCTGCTAACAACGGGGTTTCACAACCATCTCCTCAAGATAGCCACGCAAAACGTAGCTTCGACCTGCTTAATGTTGCTATGCTTTTGATTAAGTTGACGTTGGTGTCGCACAAGTATAAATAAAAACGCCCGCCGGGCCGCCATGTTTCAATCGGATGCAAAAGCCATTTGTATAGCAACCAGACATGTATCATGTATGGTAGTGCCAGCTCTGCAAACTTGAAAGGAAGCTAAGGAGTCTGCATTTAGTAGGCGGCTACTATAAGCTTGCCCAATACGGATCATGCGGAAGTATGATCAGCTACATATTGGGTACGGGGCAATGCGGCGGGGCGCAGAGACGGCGCCGTACACTGAGCTTGGCGCGTTGGCTTTCAATGTGGAGCCAAATTGGGGCCGAACTGGAGGTTTCCGGTCCCGAAAAGTGGCGGACGAACGTCCGGAGCTACAGCCCGATTTGAGGCCGATTCTCAGAAGGCACTGGTTTCAATTCTTGGGAATTGGCTTCGATTGCGGGTACCTCCCTGCGGCTACGGGGCAGAAAGAGGAGCAAAGCGGCAGGGAGGCACTGGGGCTCACTTGCGCTAGCTGAGCTGGGCAACCGCACCAGTGCGCCGTTAGTAAAGATGTATGCGGATCAAGCAGGATTCTGAGGCGCAGCCCGGTGCTAAGCGGTTCCGGGAGGGGCGAAGGGAAGCAAACTCCTTCGTTGTCGGGGATAGCTCCATTCAAGCTTCAAGTGTGTCAGTTTAAGATGTAGTGCACGAGCAATCGGAAGCTAGAGTACCAACCAACGCGCGCAAGACAGCTACGACGTCGAAGCACTCGGATCCGCTGAAAAAAGGCCCACCGTCCAGCACAGGAAGGTGGCAGATTGGTGGCAGAGTATTCAGCATTTCTTTCAATCTTCCCGTGCATCTGTTCAGCGCAGAGGAGCCCCAGCATTAGAGCACCGGACGGATTTTGGTGACAGCAGCCAAGATTAGTAAGCCAAATATAAGCGACACGATATCTTCGAAATTTCGCTCACTAGAAGTAAAACGAGCGTGCTTCTGCTCGGCCTGCCTCTGCGCCATTCCCGTTGCCGCAGACTCTCATCCTGGCCGGGCCTGCGCGTGGGGCGCCGCCAGGGCAGCGCCTCTTAAACATACTGGACCTCCATGAAGCGCCGCTTTGAAGGTCGAAATCGTTCCCGATTGCTTCATTGACTTCATCGGTTGCGTTTTTGACCTTCCGCTAAATGCGCACCGGCGATAGCCGCTGAATCCAGTCCCACGTGGGCCCTACGCACCCCGTGGCGCCACGTGTCACCTGCTGGCTCAGCCTCTGCGGGCGCTCGAAGTACTATGCTCATGCCACTCTTGGCAAGGCTGCCCTATCAGACCCAGCTTCGAATGGGTAGGGTTTCTAACGGGTCACACATGCGAAGCGCCCGCAGTGACCCCCATTGTTTTCGCTGCCAAGCTTCACTTACATTTCAAAGTTGGAGTTGCTGATGGCATCATTCTCGTGGTTCAGATTTAAGTTTCTTCTTGTTTGCAAACGGGCGTCTTCGTGCTTCAGGGGAGGGACAGGGCAGATGACGTCGAGAGCGGTATCGCGGAAGGTCTAAAAGTTCCACCGTTGCTTCCTTGCGCGCGGGGCGCTTTAAGACCCCCGGCAGAGCTGCTTCAGCGGGCTTGTCACTCTAGTGATGAAGGCGGCTTGTCTTCCGCGCCCGTTCGCCTGTCTGCGGGATATCAGGCTTGCCCGGGCGTTTAATACCGGTGGAATCAGAACCTTTACACTCATCAAAGCACCGCCTTGTGATGTCCAACTGGCGGCCGGGCCGGCCCCAACTTGAAGGACAAGCGACCAGAAAGACTGCAGTTGCCCGCTGTGGTGTCGCTATTTTCTTCATGCGTTTTCACTTCGAATCTCAAGGGAGTCCGGCAGGTCGTCTGGGACCCGCGCAGGCCTCGGAACCGGAACGGCAGGAGGGCTGGGGCGCTGCAGAGCGCGGCCTAGTGCCGCGGAACTCGGCCGCGGAACGAACCGGGGCACGGGTAAGATGCAGAGGGTTAGGTTCGGGGCGAAAAAGCCCTTTGAAGTGCCCAGAATGCCTGCAGTGGGTTTCGCTGAATAGCAAACATCCACCTTCCGTACCACTTTGGAGGCAAGCTTGCGGCAGCATGCGCAGTTCCGTTTCCGTTTGTCTTATTTTCGGCTGGCAAATCGCCCATTACCTCTGTGGAAACCGCTCACTTCCCTGGCTCTATTAATTTACCCGTTCGGTCGAAGTCTGGGACGTCCGAGCCTGCTCCGCTCCTTCAGTCCGAACCGGCAGTTTTGGACCTGATCCTATGTTCCTTGTCATCCGACGTTCCAGCCCTTTTAATTGTAATCGGCTGCCAGATCTCTTCTTTAAAACGCAAAACCTTTCGAGCGCCGATTCTGTGCCTGCCGGACAACTCCTCTTCCTTCCGTTCCACGCCGAAAGCCCACAATTCTCCTTGACAGCTTTTTTTGGCCACATGGTGGCGGAGACCCCTGCATCCGTAGTTCCTGCCGCTCATGAGAGAAATCATGAAAAATCGGCCGAGCTACAGAGAAGGCGATGCACTGGACCATTCAGTCCGAAGTCTCGCTCCCGTGCACATCGCTGCCGGACCCCCGCTTGGCCAGTCCAGGGAAGAAATTTGAGACGAAATGCAGTGAAACCTCCGATTTTGTCCACGCGGGAATCGCACGTGCGTCACGAGTATTTCACCTTGCCGCAAGCGCCATAGTTCAAGTTCAGTCCCACCATCGAGTCCCAGATGGTCCTTAAGATTTACAGTACCGTGCGTTCTCGACGTCGAATCACCTGTCGTAAGTTCTGGATCCAATGCTGCTTTGCTGAGAGGTTTGAGGCTCCTGTGTTCTAAGCGCTGCTTCTATAAAGAAGCAGCTCCTAAGATCCCAACCAGAAGGTTGTAGCTCGGAAAGCTGAAGGATGTCGGAGAATAAGAAATCCGCTTGCCTGTCGGGTGTTCATTTGGAGTTCTGTTTAATTGCTGCTTTCGCACCGAGTCCCGCGAGCTGCGACATACACGATGATGAAAGCGCGAGAATGAAAGCGGCGAATTCGTGGCAGAGCTACGCGAGCTAGGTGGGCCACGTGTTGCTTGATCTCGCCAGGTCCCAGCGAGCTGTCTCCGTCGGTTCGGCAGATCTTCGATACGACACAAAGCTCCGTCTGGCTTGTTCACCCTACACTCTCCTGACGTGTTCAACCATCAGTTTGCTACGTCGTTGTCCACGGACTGCAAGGAGATTGGTACGAAAAGTTGACCGACTCTGCTCTCATCGGGGTGCTTTGTCGTGAAAACTCCTTCTCCGACTGACCAATGTTTGCAGGTAATTCTTTCGAAGCTCCTCCAAAGGCTCGTTTCCAAGCCATGAATGTTCTATTGGAACGGTGCCAGCTTTTACGTGCACCTAACAAGAGCTGATACAGGGTGTAAATGAATCTGTCGAATGCCGTCCCGTTCCATCTGCGACGGTGCCGTCCCGTTGCATCCGCTCGATCCGGCTCAGATGAAACGGGTCGATGTACAGATTCGAAGTGGAATTGTGCAGGACCAACAGACCTGGCTGTAAAAAAGGTACGGAAAGAGACTTTGACGTGTTCGTGTGCGAAGTAGTGCAGGAGAACAATAAGTGCGTAAGGTTTTTCGACTCTGGTGGAGAAAGCCTAGCTGCAGTAGCGGCAGGGTGAAGGAATGAGCGGCTGATCAGCCCAGTCGCTTAAAACTTCCAAAGCAAGGGCTTTGAGCTCATCTTGTCCAACGCAGTAAGCAACGAATAAACCTCGAAAGTTGCATCGACGCCAGCCGTATCTGTCTTTTTGAAGATTTTGAAGCCGGACAAGTCAGAACCAAGCGAACAAGTGTCAGCCTTGTGGGCACTCCATGTCTTCAAACTCCTGGCAGATCGGCGGTTGTATTCCGCAGTGCTCGAGCATTACGTACGGCTTCCAATGGCTACATACAGACATCCAAACCTTGCTGCCGTCTTGGTGCCGCAGGAGGGAGCTTAAGTCAAAGATTGGGCCCATCTGATCGCCCCAGTTGCTGTACGATCGCGACACAAAAACCTGTCAAGCCATCAGATCCTCACCGGATGCACTCTCGCAGGCGGACCGGGAACGGCGACTGGTCGGGGTGCTGAGAAGAGGCAATAGTAATGTGCTGCCGTCTTGGGGGCCTCCTTCTCTTCCCAAGAGCATCAGAGTTCTCCCTAAGCGACCTTGCTACACCATCAACTTTTCAAATTTTCTGCACAACAGCATCTTACTGATGTAGAGTCAGCATCTTACTAACTTAGAGTCGATTGACAATGTCTGACAGGGCTTCCGCGACAGCGCGGGCGCTTTGGGGGCAGTACATCGGAGAGAGCTGCGGACCCTCCATCTCCTGACTCTCGCTCTCAGTACTCTCGCTGTCAGTACCTTTCGCTCGCCACGGTCGGGCTCCTCGTATCCACCTCTTTTGCTTGCCACGTCATCGCTGCCGCCCGGGTCCTCGTTTTCGTCGATCTGGCACCTGCACGTCATCTTTCCCGCCCTCGGACGGTCTGCAGGTGGCAGTTTGGCAGTCGAATCTGACTTTCTTTCCGGTCTGATTCATGATTGGGGTCGTTTTATTGCCAAGCCCCAGACTTGGGCTGACTTCCTGGGCCCTTCTTTCCGAAAGCTGCGCCTTTTGCTTCGCTCTGACTCGGTCCAAACTTGCAGCTTATACGCAGTCGCTTCTCGATCCCAGCAGCTTCGACCCACTTTTAGTACCAGCAAGGTTGCTATTCTAGCACGACAAACGTTTACCGTTCCGCCCGATCCAAGCCAACAGAGGAATTGACTCTCGAAGTTTTCCAGCCGAAATGAGGGGCGGTAACTTTCTTACACAGACGCCCCACATAGAAGCAGGCCGATGATTCGCGGGCTGTTAAATCCAGCGCACCCTCGGCAGAAGCTCCTCAGCAGTCACCTACCCGCGAGTTACGTACCGCATACACTCCTGTCGCAACCGCGAGCGCAAGGTGCGCAGTGTGTAAACTTCTGCTTCTCGATGATTTCTGCTTCCCGGGTGATCTAACGAGAATGCTGGCCTTGACCCTGCATGCTCCGTCGTTTCGCTGCAGTCCACCACCGCCAGTAAGGCCCCCCAACTGAAAGTGGCGGCCATCCAGCCATCACTTATGCAGAATGTGTCCCGAGTTGATTGCAGAGCAGAACAGTAGTACGTTTGTATGTCTGAACGGAATAGCAGGTTTTTGCCAGTACCTCTTGGGGTCAGCATGCCGTTCTGGGGTTAGCATGCCGGTCTGCACTCCACCGGTCTTCCGCACCCAGTCTTTGGCAGATCGCAATTCAAGCTCAAGGGACGTGTGAGTCCCTGCAATGTGTTTTGACTAGGCTAAGGCAATATATCAGGGCTGAAGCTACCATCCCGGTGTCATGCCGAACTCGTGGTGTCGCCCCCATGTGTCCGATCGATTGAATAGCATCTGATACCCAGTGTGCTCATGCAGGCCCGGGCAAATCAATGGCGATATCATCGATTTGCATACTCGACCATTGAACTCACGCCTTGATTCCGAGTAGATCAAGCAGCTCGCGAGTCGGGCGCGGCTTATATAGAATCAAGCGTCGGGTCATGAACCGGCACATACATGCGAATGCACTTCTCATGCATTTGCTGCGCACATACATAAAACTGTATTGTAGGCTAGCTTAAGAGATGATCTGCACTCATGTTGCTTCAACACTTCACTCGTTCCATGCACATGCAGAATAATTTCTTACAGCCTGAAAAGCAACTTAAACTTACTTGCATGGCGAAACTCGGGCCGGCCCGGAGCTGCCCGGCGGGCGGCCAGATCGAGCACAGTGCAAGGGGCGACGGTCAGATGATATGTCGATCAGTGCAATCCAATTAATCACCTTATTTGCATGGCGGCCGGATCGCGAGCCTGATCGGTCGGCCACAACAGATACATGATTAAAATGATTCCAATGATAGGCATCCGACAAGGCAACCGCGTTCCAGACTCAGCTTGGGCCGTGCCCGCAGCTTACATGACCAATTTTCCTTGGAATGTAGTGTTCCAACTTTCAAAGAGCGTCGGAGTCATTTGGTTAACCTCCACCAGCGAACAAGACCGTTATCGTCATCGCCACACGTTGTTGCTTAGGGTAGCAATATGACATGCATGCGCACTGTGGCGGCATCGAATCGCAATATAGGTATTACATGTTCTGGAAAAATGAGCATTGAAGCATGGCCTCGCCATGGCAGATAACCTTACTAAAAGAGGGGAAAAGAAGACTGTCCAAGAAACGGGCCTCTCATTCCGCTTTCACAGCTTTTGGCGTTGGGGATTGTCCGCTAAGAAGCGCCCCCAGTCCTCCTGAAGTCTTCATTTGCTCCTGAACGGCCTTGATCTCTTCAGGATCTGTAAGCAAGGACCGCCGCCAAAAATCAATTAATTGTCTCGGAAAGACTTCATTCCTCCCGCTTCTCCAGAGTCTCTGACAACAGCTAGTAACGTCAGAAGCCTCCGAACGAGGAGGGTTGTAAAACGCACGTATATACAAGCATCCACATATTCATGTTTCTCCAAAACACAACCCGGCTTCAGTCGGGGTAAAAAAAGTACACTCGAAGACTCAACATTTCTGACAACTGTAGTCAGTGCGGATACCTGAGCAGCCCCTTCACTGTTCCACAAGATGACTGCTTCACCTTTTGCAGACACCAAAGCTCGCCAAGGCGAGGATGCACCAGACCTCCCCAATCGAAAGCCCACCGCAAAAGCAGGCATAACAGAACCGCCACAATCAAGCACTGCCGTGGCCGAACGAGCAGCTCTCCAAGCAATCGACGGGTCAGAAAATTCGAAACTACAACCTGGCACGTTTTTGCTGTCAGTAAGTTGTCAGAATATCGCCCTCCTTCCTTGCAAGCACTCACCCATGCCGGCCGTCATTGCTGGAAGGCCGTAGATTGCAAACAGGCTGAACGCCATCATGAGAACCATCGGGTTCTTAGCAAATGTCCAGACCGTAACCGGCTGCCGGATCTGTGGAAAGTGGGGACGAGAATGAGCAATAAGCAGGAATCGCTCACTTATCCTGGTTGTCGTTACTCCAAAAACGACCCTTCATTTCTGACACAGATCGCCGCGAAAATATGATAACTTGATAGTGGAGCAGCTTTCAGCAAACCGTATGAAGGTCCGTGACACAAGAGCAACTTTCCCTCTGTCTGATGGAGACGACAATGATCGCAGGACTATGTTCAACGAGATGGAAATGATCAGATACTTGGCGATATCTTGCCATGCGGCTCCTTGCCTGACATTGTCACATCCCAACTCTCCTTTGCTTCTTCTACCTTTCACTCTGCATCTCTTCAATCAGGCAATGCAGAGAATGAACTACCAATGAAAACCTTCGGGATCGAAAGTCAGAAGTGGCCAATCGTGATACCCAAGAACCAGAGCGTGTAAAAGGTTGCCGAGCAAGACTAATAGTACTGGTCAAACAGAAGGTTTTAAGAGTATAAGAAGAGAGATTTACCTCGTAGTAAAAGACAGGCATAACGGGGGTCAGCACCAGCGGCTGCGGAAGCACTCTCCGGTGATTCTCAGCGATACTTGCACGGACCTCTCCCCTCTTCGAACTTGCATCGATCTTCAACTGAATAGACAACGAAGATATGTTTGTCCAGAAAGTCGAATTGAGTGCCTGAGCTACTTCACCTGCTACATTCGCCTGTTCAAGCTTTTCAGAAAAAAAACTCCTATGTTTGAGATGGGTCTGTGCATGCTTGCTGTGATGCGTCCCCGAAGCTATGTAAGCAAGGCAACAAGCGAATCAAGACTTTGATCAAAGGCTTCAGACTGTTCCCATCGATCTGCATCAGACATGCAAACTTGCGATGGCCCTGATGATAGCTTATGGTAAGATGTTGCCAATAATGTGAAAGGCACTGTGCATCTCTCGATCTTGGCAGGGACAGAGGCGCTTCCCCCAAAACAAACACAAAAGCAGATAAACGATTTGGGGAAACTTACCGGGGCGAAGTAGTAACCGAGCGCCACCACCTCCAAGATGTGAGATCCAGAAGGGATGTCATAGCTTTTGAACAGAACAGTCAAGGAAACCTGCTCCTCATAGATGTGCTCACTCAATGATGAATCAGAAAAAGTTGCTCAACCAGTCACAACAACTCAATTCTCGAACCAGGAGAGTCCACGTAGTTGATCAATCGAGATCTAAGCCAGCAAGACAGCATTGAGTTGGATCAACACTCGTGCGCAGGATACAATGCGAAGTAGCCGTCAATCCTCGGAAAGGCGACGTAGCGGCCCCCGTCGAGAAGTATTTTGATTGACGCTGGCTTTGTCTTCAGCACTGCAAGAAAGCTTGTCAAAAATGAGACGGGTCGGCTATGGTTTAATACAGTGGTCAAGGACCCCATGAGTGGCCTCCCGCATTTTGCGTCATGAACAGGAAGAAGAAATACGGGACAACCATTGAAGCAGCCCCACCTCATCTGCTTAGTGGTGGAGTTTGATAGTGGAAGTATGCTTACCGTCAAGCCTTATTCGTCCGTCTATGATCGATGTTTCGCCCGATTGGCTGAGGAAGTGGAAAGATAAGAGAAAATCAGGCAACAGGATCAAAATGATATACTTTCAGCAAATCTTGGATCCTAAGTTCAACAAGCGTACCAAGTTTACTTAAGACGCCCGTAACGCATACATAGAGCAACCTTCCACAAACAGTCTTCATGAGAGTCAACCATATCATCTTCAAACGGCAACAACCAGAAGTTTGCAGCTCAACCTTTCTGAGCTTTTGCTTTGGATGCTGCATCTTCGCTCATCTAAGATATAAGAATCTTATGAGTCCTGTGCAGGAAGTTCTTACGCACCATGAACGAGCACAGGCACTACAATCTAATGCAGCTTCAGAGAAGCTGATGGGAATGTTTGAGATGGATATTCACTCTGCGACTGCCCCAATGCCCTTTGCTTGAGCACACAGTGACAAAATTACCGCACCATGATGCAAAGCTCACCTAGCTGCAGCTGACACGCAGAGCGAGCTGAAACAGAAACAGCCCACAATGAGCAACAAACACCGGTTCCTTCCCAACAATTCCATCTTGATCTCCAAGCAAAACTCCCCCCCTCACTTGTGTCCACAAGGTATCAATGTCTGGACCCAAGGTTCAACCAGCCGGAAGCCTCACTTGAAAGCTATGAGATCTGACTTCTTGTGACAAGTGCGCGCCACAGCCAGAAGCCGTTGGAACAAGAGCGACGAGAATGTCTTCTTGGTTGACAATTATAGTGTGCTTATTGAAACCCTTGAGTGTGAGACGATTGTATCAGTGTGAGTGCCTGTTTACACCTTTTGAAACGCATTAGGCTCGTAGCGACCTGAGTAGCCTTCCTTTTGAAAGCGCCCTTGCCCCTCCAGGGGAATGATGTCTCCGCGTTGAGTGTTCAAACTGTGTTGCACTGTCGAATGGAATGAATGCATGCGAAGAAAAATGCCTGTTGATCAGCTCAAAATGAAGGACGAACATCTAAAAGAACCCGGGAAAAGCGCAAAACATGGCGACCCTCCAGCACACCGGCAGGTGCTCCAGGACCTATAACGGTTCGCCAGGTGAGGACTCAGAAGCGTGAGTCGGAAAGAAGCTCTCAAGAAGGTCACTCAGTTGGGTAGATCTGTCCTTCAGACTTCAAGTTCAGCCTCCAGGGCGGATCAGCAAGGAAAAAAAGCTGCCATGGATGCTTTCAGCTCACCACGGCCGTCCTCGTCTGGGGGCCCCTCAAATGAAGAAATGATGGATCAAGTGCGGACGCAGCTGGCGCACGCATACGCGGAAGAATTCTTCGCTGTAAGTAGTTTTGTGTCCAACTTTTATGCTCATCGGCGGGAGATTACGGAGCTGAAGAAGGGGTGTCAAGAAACTGTTCTTTTCTGTTGAACGGGCCTTCTGAGTAAACCTTCTTGTAAAAGTGGCATAAGTTGCCACAGTTCAATGTTTTGTCTTCTGTGATTTCAAAATTACCACCCTCTTCGCCTAATGCCTTTTGAAAATCAGGATCAGCAAACACGGTTATCTACTCGCCGCTCCAGGCTTTCAAGCCGGCAGCTAGCGGCGTCTAATTTGTGTGCAGTGCCTGGATGTCAAAGTCACCACCCCAGTCTTCTGAGAATGGTTTATGGTTCTACTTAAGTTACGATGTGGGGGTGGTGCGCACGTTGAGGTCCACCTGACCTTTCACAGCTTAAGTAACAATGATCCGCACGCAATGCTGTACCTATGCCCGAAGCTTTCAGTGACGCTCAGGTCAAGGCAAGCCTTCAAGAGGAATTCACATCAGGATATTGAAGACAAACTGCGCATCAGCAACCGTTCCTTCTGACAGGCTTGAATTGAAGCATGAAAGGTCGTGACTGAGATGCTCTTACTACAAGTACCATTCAATTCTGCCCTTGGCAACGCCAGCATCAACTCTGTTCTAGTTCCTCTTATGAACGAGTGTCAAGCGGCTCGCAGACTTCTGTCGTGTTTGTTAAGGTGCCCAAAACCCCTGAAATATATCCCAAGTGTTTCCTGGCTGGGGGAAAGTTTAGCAAGTTATATTCGCTGACAGTGCTTGTTTCAGGCTTCTATTGATACTTCCACAAAAGTGAAGACCAATCAAACACTTGAAGTTTACTTCAAAGTGAACACCAGTGGTTAAAGGTCCACTGGAGTAACATTTGAGCACTTTTATCAGCTTTGTGCTAACTTTGCAACCGCTTGAAATTTGATGACGAGGCCAGCAAATCATAGAGGTCCTAATTCTTTCTCTGCACAATTGCAGACGGTTCGAGACAAGTGCTTTGCCAAGTGCATCACGAAGCCTGGGAGCAGTCTGAGTGGCTCGGAAGCCAGTTGTGTATCTCGTTGTGTGGATCGATATATAGAAGCGACCGGGGTAGTCTCCAGAGCAGTGTTGAATGCTAGTCCACGATAGCTCAAACCAACGGGATTGTAATATAATGGTGCAACGGGATAACCCTGACGGGGCTTACTCGGTGTTTGGATTCAATGAGGCCAAGCGAGCGAGCAAAGTCTCCTTGTATCACTGCTTAGGGCCCAGGAAGTGTGTCAGTATATTCGCCTCACGGATCTGCTCTTTTTTGTTTGGATTTTTGGGTCTGAGAGGCTCCGGCTCCAAACGTTGAACCGCTTATTTGGCGAGGTCTTTGTGGGCCCAGCGTTGAGAGCTTTCAAGCGACATCTGGCTGCTTGCAGTACCGAAAGAGATAACGACAGAAGTTGCCAGTCGAAATCCGGATGGATGTTGCGTAGGTTGTCAGATATGCTTTGTGAATGGTTCCTTTGATGGTTCGATTGAAGATCATGTATATGTTTAATCCGATGGCACACCTGCATGTATCATGGCCCTCCATTCCGAGCTAGGCTCCATGCTGTGCTTTTGATGATTACATGATGCCACCGACTCAGTAGCAATTAAAACCCTTTTCAATCATTTTCTGCATTGAAATCTTATCCTAGGATAACCATGGGCTGGCAAGCTCGACTTATGTCACTGAACGTGCGCACTCTTGAGTTCAATGCTCGAGCTAGCTGCCTATGTACTTATATGTACTTACTTTATATACTGCCTTCAGGCTTGTCATGCTGCAAGTCGAATGATCCGGCTGGTCACTGTAGTGCGACGGTCCTTTTATGCGACTGAGGCCTGGCATGGGACCGACGTGGTCGGGCCCAATCATGCATGGTCGGAGCTATAGCCAGCCATGGAGGCGAAAGCGCTGGTTGACGGTTAATTGCACGCATGGTGATACATGTGGCCACATCCACGCGTCTGCAAGGAAGTTTGCAAGCTAGCGCTGCAATACGTGCGAACTTCATGATGCGTGCCCGGATATGACTGTAACGTCCGTTTGAACCCGAATGCATCCAGCATGTGTGTTTGCACTGATTAATTAATGAGGATCTAGCTCAAGAAACTGCAAGTGTGCAACAGCAACTACAACGCAGTGAAACACTGGTGACAGCGGCATCGGTGGAACTTGGATACAACAGACTTGAGTGGATTGAAACCAGTTGTGGACAACACCTTTTGCAAGTTGCATACGAAGCTGGGCTGTACAGAGTGTTTCTCGACTGAAGATCGTCTTTCGTTCAGAATCCGAACAGGGGATGAAGGGCCTGCTTGCAGTCCCTCAGTCCAAGTCTTCATCGTGCCCCACGAACTCCGCCACTGAATCGAGCTCCAGCCTCACAACCTCGACGCCCTCTACTCGATGGTCGCTAAATTGCACCACCCCGATCCCCCGCTCCGAATCCCTTTCCAGCAGCCGTCCTCTCCGCCCTCTCTCCTTTCCCGTAACCACCGCCACGTTTCCCCCTCGTTTGGGAAGCGCCGTCTCAAGGCTGCTCTGGTGCACCCCCTGCAAACTCTGTCCAGTCTCGTCGACAGTGAGATCCGCTGTGGTGGGGGTCACGACATCAACAACCGTCGCCTTTTTCAGATACAGCCGCCCACTTTGCAAGCTCTTGCTCACAATCCTGACCCGGATATGCGGCACCAGCCACGGAGCGTCTTCGCCCCTTCTGTCCCCTTCTTCCACCTCCCTCCTTGACTCGTCGACTTTGCGCTTTAGCCGTATGTCATCCCCACGCCTTCCCCCCTCCCTACTTGGCCCCGCCTCGCGGCCGTTCGTGCCGTTTCTTGCCGCGCCGTTGACACGAGCATCTCCATTGGATGCTCTGCCGGCTCTGTCCGAGTTGTGCCCGTTCACACTCGCCACATCCGCCAACTCTTGTACACGCACTTCGACGACCTCCTCGCTCCCCCTCAGCCTCACGGTCGCTCGATCCGAGCGCCCTTCCGTCTTCTTAATGCTTAAAATCTCCCCTTTCAGACCGCTATGCCTGCCAGTCACAATCTCCATCACCTTCCCCACGTGCACGCCCTTCTTTTCTCTTTCGACTAGTTGCTCATCTACCTTCCGAGAATTCCGAGGTCGGCCATCGCTCCCAGGCGCCGCGACCAGGTCCGGCTTCGGACCCCTAGTCTCCCCCGGCTTGATGTACTTCCTCTCCTTAACCTCCTGCGGTTTTGGGTTTGCGCCCAACCCCAATCGGTCAGGCCTTGGAACGTTGACGACCGGCTCTACGACCTTGCCCTTAGCATTCCGCCCGACAGCTTTCCCCTCCACCCACCCCATTCCCCGCAGCATTGCCTTGCCAAAGTCCTCGATCGGCATGCTGTCATACGCATCCTCATCCGCTTCGTCCGGGAGCTCATTCAGATCTTTCTTGAGCTGCTGCGCCTCTAGTTCCTGAGCGCTCCTGTAAGCACGGGACGAGCTTTCTGCTGGGGGCTCCAGGGCACCATTGACCTCTCTCCTAACCTCTTTCTTAACCCTGATCTGCAGCCCATACTGCACCCCGTCCACCTTCCCCGCCGCAATCGTCTCCTCCACCTCAAACCTATCTTCTGTCTTTTGTTCAATCGCGTAGTCCCGCATCGTCTCCTGCAAGCTCCTCATCTTACTTTCTGGCCGCCACTTGTTCTCCAGCTTTGGAATAACCTTCAGTTCAGCTGAAGCCTTGCCCCCCGTGGTTTCTATGCGCCCCTCCCCCACAGCAGAAACAAACTCCCTGCTGACACCATCGCCCGCCCTTGCTGAGGGGACTGAATTGGACGGCAGTAAAGGCCGCGCTTTGCTCTGCGTAAATTTGAACCCTAGTTTGTTCACCACCGGCCCTGCTATTGCATCAGCCTCCACCGGGGCATCTGCTGCTTCTTTCTGTGCATCCATGGATGCTCTCTCGACGAGAAAGATGGTGTTTAATTTGTTCAGTTGGGGACTTCTGTAGCGGCGCGTCAGAGTCCAGCTTGATCAACTGATTAGATGAAAAAGAGTCAACCGCCCCTAAGGAATGAGAACCTGGCAGCTCATTCGCCCTTCCAAAACTGCAACACCAACTTGAAGCTGAACCCGCAACTTCAAGAGTCAAGCTGTCCGTCTTGCAAGTTGCAGCCCCTTGCAGTTGCACCATGTGCAGCACTTCGATACCCAGCCTTGAACTTGAAGTTGGAACTTGAAGGCTGGAACTCTAGGAGGTTTGCTTTTTCACCGAGCTTGACCTCTGAGGAGCATCGACGGTCGGCAGTTGCTGACAATTGCAAGTGCTTACCTGCCTTCAGAACAAACGTACTATCGACGGCCGGAAAGAGGCTTTCTTGTGCACGCTCACCACTTCGAGATGCAGAGCTCATACGGTATGCAATGTACATGTCCGCCCTTGCCAGCACAGGGCGGCTTGAATGCTGGTCATATGATCGTTCTTTGAAATTAAACATTGAAAGAATGTGGAGCAAGCTGTCCTAGTGCTCCATACTCAGGTTAGGATAAGGTTACGGCGCAACTATCTTCACAACAAGGCTACCCTGCCGCTGACATTTTTGCGGTGTTGATACTCAATTGGCGAATGCAATAGAGGTTCCCAAATGGCACGTCAAGGAAAGAGGAAAGCTGGTGACGTGCGAGAGCCCTCAAATGGCACCACAGACCCAGAAAGCAGCGACGAAGGGGATCTTTTAGAAGGCAACGCTTCCGATGATGAGGGGGCATTAAGTGATGGAAGCGAGGGAGGGCTGGTGGCTTCTTCTTCTGAGGATGAAGGGGCTCTCGCGAGCGAAGAGGAGGGGTCCGATCCTGAGAGCGATGGGGAGGGGGAGAGTGATGAGGAGAACGAGGATGGGGAGATTGGGGAAGCCACAGAGGAGTTGGCGCAGGCGGTGCAGGATTACTATCTGGAGCGGGACGCTCGTGAGGGGGAGGAAGCGGAGAATGGAGAGCTTGTCAGGGGCCAAGAAGAAGTGGGGGTTTCCGGCAGGGGGGAAGAGGAGGAGCGGCGGGGCGCAGGGGAGGAGCGTTTTGGGCCGCATGTGGACGAAAGCGATTCGTCTGAAGACGAGGTGGGTTTGCACCCTCTTCTATGTCGAATGTGGGAATCAGCTGCGCACCTCCAATCTGCGTCTGGAAACTCGACCACTCCAGCCATCGCTCGGTTACAAGCCTCCAGCACAGCCCTGCAATGTGATCTCTCTAGTGGTACGGCGTTACCATACATTGACAACCATTACCACCCTGTTCTGTGCAGCGGCCCGATAGAAACACGGTGGGAAACGTGCCCCTGGAGTGGTATAAGGACGAGGAGCATATAGGTTATACGAAACATGGGAAGAAAATCATCAAGCAAAAGCGAAAGGATGAGCTGGACAAGTTCCTGAAGCAGGCAGATGACCCGAAAGCCTGGTGAGTTTTGTTCTAAGTTTGCAGGGCGCTTTTGCTTTAGCTTTCCGGCTTTGTGGTGCCTTCACCTGCAACATGGTGCGCAGCTAATACAGCATCAAATGCCAGCAAAATGAGCATTTTGAACGGTTTGGATAGTGTCCACTGTTGTGGTGGCATGCCAGCCCTGAATCTTGGTCGCTACATTCTTTGCAGCGCGGTTTTGTTGGGTGGTATGAGTGTGCTGGAAGGTGTAGCTGCAAAAGAAGGTTTTGTGAGGTCTTTTGTCTGTCAAGTTCAACGCATCAATGATGACAATTTGAATTCTCTGCAAGTTCCTTGGTATCCTCTGGGCTGCGGCGACTTTGTCGGTTGGCATTGTCTGCTTCCGAAAAGTCCTCAATCAGGTGTCATTGTAATCCCTGACAACCAGTTCAGTCGAGCGGCTTTGGCCATGTTTGCCAAAGTACAGGATGCCGAAACTGGTGAAAGCCAAGTTCCAAGGTTCCCGTCACTTTGGGGGCCAAAGTACGGGATGCCCAAATTAGTGAAGCCGAGTTCCAAGGTTCCCGTCATTTTGGGGGCCAAGGTGGTGTCAGTCAGCGTCAATGATATCTTGTGAATAGAGGCGGTTGATCGAGCACAAGTCCTCTGGTAAGCTTTCTGCATTGGCCGTTTCTATGTTTCTATTCTTTTGAAACACTGAGGCTTTCTCTGTTTTCCGCAGGCGGACACTGTACGATGAGTACAACGACGAAGACATCGTACTCTCCAAGGAGGAGATTGCCATGATCCAGCGGATACGGCAGGGCAAGATTCCGCACGCGGAAGTAAACCCGCACGAGCCGTACGTTGACTGGTTCGAATTCGAGGACAAGGGGCAGCCTCTGAGCGGGGCGCCCGAGCCCAAGCGCCGGTTCATCCCGTCAAAGTGGGAGGCAAAGCAGGTAACAATCGCACTTAGAAGCCATCTTGCGAATTTTTGGATGTTGAATCTGGGTTTAGTCCAGAGTAAGCTGCCTCGGCTGGGAAAATGTGGGCGAACTAGCAGCAGTGATAAGATTCGAAATCCGTCCATACCCTGTAGCATATTTTAGCCATGAGATGAAGAGCAGGCCTCGTTTTTAAAGAAATTTGGCCAGACCTTTCAACCAGGCCGACGAGCAACTCATACAGGGGCGTTGCCGTTCTGGGAGTCTGGGATGCGAAACCTGAAGTTACGAACCATAAGAGACGGAGTCTCAAAAGGGCTGGACTTTGGAGTGGCTGGACTCATTGCCAATTGATGCTGACCAAAAGTTTGCAAAGCTTCTCCAACTGACGCGATGTTATGATATCCTGCAGGTCGTCAAGATTGTGCGGGCAATTCGGAAGGGCTGGATCTCGTTTGACAAGAAGCCGGAGGCGCCGCGTGTGTATTTGCTGTGGGAGGACGACTTTCGGACGGCGGACAAGACGGCCAACGGGCTCACGTACATTCCACCCCCAAAACCGAAGCTGCCAGGTGAGAAGGACGATTCATGTGGTTTGTCCTTCACAGTACATTGTGGTCCGGATTCTGCTTATTTCAACTCACCGCAAAGTGGGGGAATGTTTCGAATCACGCTTGTCGGTGAATCTTCACGCGAGCAGGAAAGTGACAGTCCTGCGTCCTATTTCTGGTAGACTCTGTCATCAAAAGCACGAATGGTCTTGTTCTAAATCAAGACTCTTCTACCTTCTGAATGAAAGTGAAGGCGCCGCAAACAAAGCTGTTGCCGGCCCTGATTTGTTGGCCTCCGTTTTTTCGCCTTCGGTTTTTGCAGTGGTTTGAAGCCCGTGTCAGTTTTCACACAGCCACCGTACGCGCGCTTTGTCGCTGCTCGTTGATGCTCACCGACTGCCTTGTTTGTTTCCTCTTTCTTTCTTTTGAAGCTTTTGTGCCGCACATTTTGTCACTGTCGTGCCAGAGCTCTCCGTGCTCCTGTTCGACTCCTCCATATGTGCCAGAGCATTGACTGTCCTGCGGTGCTGACCCCGTACAACGTCGGGGAACACAGCTGAAAGGGCAGCCGAAATTGCGTCTCATAAAGTCAATTAGTTCACTCGTGTACACCAGACTTCACTGATTGTTCATTCATTGACAAACTGGTGTTTTGCCAAAACCTTGTGCACTGGCCCACGATAGCAGGATCTTTGGAGGGTTTTTTACTTGATTCATATAGACACTCGTTCGTACGGTGTCCAATTGCCCCTGACAAGTCGTACTCAAACCTGCTTTCTGATCGAAGTCTCTCTGAGCCAGTTCGACACATCTCGGGCAAGCTCGTTCTGCTCTTAATTTCCGAGTCAATCGAGGCCGATGGTAGTCTCGCTTACTGCACAAGGTTTCTATATTACAACACAACTGAGGATTCTGACTTTCCTGTCGACTTTAATATTCCTCGCATGCCCATTTGTGTTTCGAGGCCAGGATTATGGATAAGACGGGGCTAAGATTGTCCATTGGGTCTCGTACAACTGACGCCTTCATGATAAGTATATTCACAATTCCCGGGGGGGCGTCATAGTTTGTCAGGTAGAGCAGTTTGGCAGGTTTCGAGCATTTTCATTGGCGAGGCAATGATGAGCCCTGGGTTGCTAACAAGAACCGTAGATCTTAGACCTTCTTCAGGATCCAAGTCTTAAATCAATGTTCAAGTTTCACTTCCCGGGCTTTGCTTGGTACAGGTCACGAGGAGTCGTACAACCTGCCCCTGGAGTTTCTCCTTACTGAAAAGAACTTGAGTCATGCATCCGTACATTCATACATTTATACATTCATTCCTCAGACCCAGAGTCAGGTTCTCAGTCTCCGGCTTGTTTGGTACAGGTCACGAGGAGTCGTACAACCCGCCCCTGGAGTACCTGCCCACTGAGGAAGAGCTCAACTCGTATGATCTGATGTACGAGGAAGACCGGCCGAAGTACATCCCCCGCAAGTTCGACTCGCTGCGGCAGGTCCCGTCGTACGCGAACTTCGTCAAGGACAAGTTTGAGCGCTGCCTGGACCTGTACTTGAGCCCGCGGATACGCAAGAAACGGGTGAGCGTGGGTTCGGTGGTTGGACGATGCGAGCGGATTTTCCCAAATGTTCCCCTTAATATTTCTGTGGCACTCGGGATGGTTTTTGGCTAGCCAGTGGCCTGCACAGGTCTCATTCCATCTGCCATCGACTCGAAGTCGCTCATCCCAAGCTCTCTGAACCCTTTCTGCAAAAGCCATCCGCCCTTCTTCACAAGAGATTGTCATCCTTTTGTGCTAAGCTTCGAACTTGGTACTCTCACAGATTACCATCGACCCCGGGTCACTGACCCTCAAGCTGCCCAACTTCAACAATCTGTCCCGCTTTGAAAGCCTACCGATCCTACATACACAAACGAACTGTCATCTCTTTGCGCAAAGACTCACGACTCGTTCTTATTTTCGCAGATCAACATCGACCCCGAGTCGCTCATCCCAAAGCTTCATGAACCCTTCCCATTATAGGCATGCGATTTTCTTTTACGCGAGAGTGTTCTGCGCTGACATCGCTTTCGTTTCTATTGCAGATCAACTTCGACCACGAGTCGCTCATCTCCAAGCCCCTAGATTAGGGACTTGCCGTCTCGTTCGCACAAGGAGAGGAAGCATTTTTCTCTTGCGTTAAGATATATTCCCTCTCATCTTGCAGATCAACATCGACCCCGAGTCGCTCATCCCCAAGCTGCCCAAGCCCAAGGACCTGCAACCCTTCCCAACCACCCTCTACCTCGAGTTCCTCGGACACGAGGGCGCCGTACGGACGCTCGCGACGGACCCGTCCGGACAGTGGCTGGCCTCAGGTATGCGTGACTTTCTTTTACAAAGAAAGCAGGACTTGCTTGTGAATTTGGAGAATCGAGGCTTTCTTGTTTTTGACAAAAGTGGCACAAGGCTTGTGACGTGCTTTTTTGGTACTCCGGAGTTGGTATTGAGCCGCAATCGCTGGAGGCTTGGGGTGAGAAAGGGGCCCGGAAGGCTTTCCGCTTTCGATACGAGAGACTGGGTAAGGGTCGGGACGATGCGAGTGGAGGCTCTGAACAACCAGTGGTAGAAACAGTGTGGAGTTTGGAGCCACAGCCTTCGAAGCCCTTCTTTGAACTGAAACTTCCTTGGTTGCGTGATGCCCAGACCATTTACCTTGCTCTTAATGTGGTTTCCTGGGGCGGACGAAAGGTAGGAAAGCCATGACGGAAGCTTGCCAGAAAGGCTGACAAGATATCCAGGCTACCTTATCAAGTCCGAGAGTACTGGTCTCGCGTCGGATGTTACCTAATGTCGTCATCGTCATCAACAGTTTCGATTGAGGTTTTATATTGCTGTTGGACAGGAACCGAACCCCGGCCTTTCTGCCTTGCAGGTTCTCGAGACGGCACTGTCCGCCTATGGGAGGTCCAAACCGGGCGGTGCCGCAAAGTCTGGTCGCTTAACACGCCGGTTAAGTTCCTCTCGTGGAACCCAAACCCGGATCGGCCGCTGCTGGCCGTTGTGTTCGGGCGGAGCGTGCTTTTGATGGGGAGCGGAACAGGCAACGAAACGCAGTCGGAAGCGGCAGCGGGGTTGGTAAAGTTACAGGAGACGGCGACAGGGGCTGCGGACGAAGGGGCGGTGGTGCGGTGGCAAAAGAGCGAGCGGGCGGAGGGCCTGGAAGTGGTTCACAAGCACGTGAGTGGGTGCAGGTTTTTGCGCGCAGCTTCTAAACTCTTAAGAGAGGTCACGATCTTTATCGACTTCGCGAATGTACCAAGCGCGCTTCGAACCTCCTGAGATGATGATGATATCGCGGAGGTAATCAAAGTGGTATAAAAGGACGCTGGTGCGAGACGTCTGCAAGGCGGCTCGTTTGTTTTTTCTGCAAGTCGACTTACTTCGAGTTACAGACTCCGCTTCCTGAAGACTTGGCCTCGAGGATTCTTTTTCCCTTCGCACGATATGAAGGTTGACATCTTATCAAGCACGGTCTTCTTTCGCCTCTTGTTCTCATTGCTGCCGCCACTGTGCAAGTTCGCTGACATCACTCTTTGTTCCTTTTGCAGGATGTCGCGCACGTGTCGTGGCACCACAAGGGCGACTACTTCGCGAGCACCTCACCCGACGCCGTCTCAACGGCCGTGCTCGTTCATCAGCTCGGGAAGCAGCAGACGCAGAACCCGTTCCGCAAGAATCACGGCCGCGTGCAGCGCGTGCTCTTTCATCCGACGCGGCCCTTCTTCTTTGTGGCGACGCAGGTGCGGATTATAATTCTTTCCGTCTTCATCTTTTGTCACTTTGACGAGAGCCCGAGAATGTAGGTCCTGCTTACAGTTCTTTTTGTTTCTCAGTCCCTTCTGTTTTGGGGCGATCTTGCTCAGTGTAGCGCGTGCTGTTCCACCCGATTGTTCTTTGGTTTGATGCTCAGCCCTCATTATATCTGGGAAAGCTTTCAGTCGTGAAGTGCCTGCGGTTCTGTTCGACGCCCCCGCTTCTTGTTGTCGCTACGGAGGTGGGCGGGTTCTTTTGAAAACTATCACGATTTGGCAGTTCTTCAGTCCGAAGTTTTTGAGGTCTCAGGGTTAGTACAACAAAAACAAGAAGGGACTTCCGCGTTCTGCTTTGAACCTGCGTGGAACGTGGTGCCACGAAGATTGGAGCGGCTGTAGGAGAAACCAGGTCTTCTGATCTCCTTACTTCAGCCGAAGAAGGCTACAATTTAAGCATTGGAATTTGCACGGATTTGCCTCAAAATCGCTAGTAATTGCTGCCTCTCAGACACAGGTTGCAAAATATGGGGCTTCTACTCCCCCTCTGGCTCCCTTACTGCGCGGCAGGAAGGACGGACGTTCATTTGTTTTGTCTGCTCTTTTCATACGTGTCTGGAATCCTCTTGAAACTCTGCTCGGAAGAAGGACACCCTGTTCGGCTCCCCTGTGCCGACCACATACACAGCGGCGAAGTGGAAGGTTATGTCGTTTGTTTTCAGGCCCGTCGGGACATTCCTATCTTATTCGAATTGGATCGAGTTGACTGTCTTGCTGACATGTGTCCTCTTCAGCTTTCTTGGTTTCACCGCTGAACTCTTACGGACTTATTTTCGGCAGACTCTTATGCGCGTTTATAATGTCGACCTTCTTGGGAAAAAGCTTCGACAATCATGGAAGAAAGCTTCTCTTGTTACGTCTTGGTGTTTGTCTTGCTGGTCCAAGGTTTTTGATGGACATGGCTTTTTGCAGACCCACGTGCGCGTGTATAACCTGGCCAAGCAGCAGCTGGCCAAGAAATTGACGGCGGGCGTGAACCAGATCTCGTCCATGGCGATCCACTCCGGAGGTGAGGTTTTCGAAAAACTACCCTTCTGTTTTTGCCCGCGTGCGAAGTCGAGCGGACGGATCAATTAGTCCGGATCCAAGATTGCCAGTGCCGTCCTAGTTTGTATTTGGTTAAGGGAGTGACGCCGTGGAGTACGCCCATTCTAAGTACTGGCCTATTGTCCGGGAGCTGAAGCCTTCAGAAGGATACTCTCTTTCCTCCTCTGAAGTTCTGGCGATTCTCATAGAGATGAGGAGAGAGATTCTCTTTTCGGTGTCACCTACGGTGCGGCCCCTGCCGCGGTTGAATGCATTTCTCAAGATATTAGCTTCTTCCAAGATCCAAGTTTCCGAAAGTCCGAAATGAAAACTGAGAATGCTCCGGGAAAGCACCTTGTGGGCAGGTGCCTTCCTGTTTGTGCGGCTGTTGTTGCATTGGCTGCGTGTTGAGACTTAGCGCACCTCCGTCTTGCCTGCGCAGGTGACAACCTGATCATCGGGAGTTATGATAACAAGCTGACGTGGTTCGACATGGACTTGTCTACCAAGCCGTACCGGACGCTCAGGTAGGCCACAATCCGCGTTCTTGCTGTTTTTGAGTCGTAATTTGCTCCTGCATGAGTTTGGAGAAGAAGGCTGAACGTGTCGAAACGAAGCCAAAACACCCAGGGAGGTAGGAGTAGTGTGAGAAATCTGCTCTGCTGACTGAATTGTAGAACAAACGTCGGACACATATGGTTCGACGCTTGACAACTTCGATGTTAGCTGTTTGGTGGACATCCACAGATGAAAGAAAGGGCTGGGTGTTTTCAGCCGGCTTTGGGTTACGGGCTTTGATAACCAAATCAACAACCGTGGCTTTCTTGCTGGAAGGAGCTTTCGATCCGACTGCCTTACGACCCAGCTCGCAGTAACTTTTGGGTTTGTGATCATGCAACTTTGGCGGCAGCGGAACCGTCCGCCCTTTGGTCGTGGAACTAGAATGACGGAACCAACCCGGTCAAATTGTCTCGCAAGTTTGCTTACTGACTTCGATTCGAACTCACTCGTGCAGGTACCACGACAGCTCGATCGAGGGTGTCGCATTCCACCGGTCGTACCCGCTGTTCGCCTCGTGCTCTGACGACGGCAGCGCGCACGTGTTCCACGGCATGGTTTACTCTAACCTGCTCGAAAACCCGCTGATCGTGCCGGTCAAGATCCTGAGGGGGCACAAGGTGGTTGAGAGTGAAGGTGAAGAACCGCGCCGACGGGTATTGGTTCGTATCGTTTGTGCTGCGCCGCTTACAGACGCTTCCGACGCTTTTTGCGTCTATGCATGTGTCCGAACGCCGGTACCAATATTTGAAGCTCCATGACGCTATTGGACCGGGTCAGTGTCAAGAGCGGACGAACTCAAGAAGGTCGCTAGATAGAAAGAGTCCGGTCTGTGCGAAGGAAGGTACGGAGCGGTGCTCTTTTCAGCATGCACCTCTCCTCAAATTCACCTTCACACATCGATCAAGTCGCTCGTTCTGCTCGTACGCTGTCTCGCTTTCCTGAGGCAGCGCTCAGGAGACGACGACATGCTTCGAAGCTCGGACCATCGCCAATGTATAAGTGCATGTTGTTGCGTCTTCATCTGAAGGCCGATGGAGGAGAAAAGCTTTGGCGCAACTTCCTTGGAAGATGGGGTTATTGAGGCTTTCTTTTCTGGTCGCAGGTGTGCTCGACTGCGCTTTTCACCCCACGCAACCGTGGCTGTTCACGGCAGGCGCCGACAAGTCAATCAAGCTCTATTGCAATTAGGTGCAGCCTGCCTGGAAGCAGACGTTCATAGAAGCGGCCTTTTCAAAAGTCGCAGCTCAAAGTTAACGGGTCGATTCACAGCATGGTCAAGCAATGTTCTTGTGGGCTCTCATTCAATGATTCACGCTTGATCGTGCAGCGATCCTGCAGAACTGCTCTAGAGTGCATGGACTCAGATGGGAAAATAGTGGGTTGCGTGTCGCGCGCCACAATGATTGGAGTGGTTTCAAATATGGCCGATATGATCGATGTTGTGTAGGAGATTTACATGCTGCGTTCCTGAGTCCTAAAGAATCTATTATGCATCAGTCGCCCATGCAAATGATGTTATTGATGAAAGCTTGAATTCTTGACCGGTACGAATTATGATCGGACAGGGTACACTGCGCGTACGTGGCTGCCAGCGTCACTGGCCGGCCCGGCCATGCAGCATCCAACTTACATAAAAACGTCACACTGTCAACAATGCAATTTTCACCTGGCAAGACACCCTATACTATGGTGTGTCGGTCAGTGCGCCAAGCTATGATAGCATTCTAGCTTGGCGCAGCGTGTGTATCCTGCATATGCTTTTGATTTTTAGCGCTATAGGGTGCATATATATGTTGCCGGCCGGTCACGCGACTCAGCGAGCTTCACTCCTGGTTGATTGATCGCTTGTTCGTCTCCATTCAAATGATCGTGCTTGTAAACGCGGTAGAAATTTCACACATGTGCAACTGATTGCGCGCCGCAGCTAGCCATTCTGCATCCAGCATGTGTGCAGCTAGCGGGCCGCATCTTGACTGTGATGTGCGGCTCTTAGCGTGCATGCTTCTACTTGCAAGTTCAAGGGGTGAACGATTGATCGCCCAAATTATAAATCATATACATCTAAGAAGCTAAAGTGCAGTTCCATGCAAGGAATGAGCATCCGTGAACGTGCCAGCGCACGTAAGTCTGATTATTTTAATGCACGATATAGGACTCAAATCTATGCAAGTCACAGCAAGTTCGAGCCGGGAATCTACACTGACCCACAGCTTCAGGGCCTGCATGAGCTATAAGTTTACACTGAGCCGCATGCAGGTTATCAGGCATACAATTCAGGTTGATTGCGTCCTGCCACATTTCGAGCCGGATATCGAGCCATCTCAAAGTCTTTTGTGCTGGCAGATCGTGAAGCAATCGAGTGGAGAATAGTGCGAGAAAACACGACCTACATACAGGATGGCTCAATCGGTCCAGAATGTGATTTGTGTGAGCTCGAGCGCGCGGTGAGGTTGTTGATTAAGGACTTTCGCTCGTTGACAGCGTCGCGAAGGGACCACCAGCCACTGCTTTTTCATTTGCACCTTGGTCTGGCGTCGGTACTGGCATCGCTGCAAACGAAACGCATAAAGTAATTTCAACTTTTGATCGTATCTGGAGCGTCAGGTTTGGCTTGCTTGGTATGTTATTGCTGGCGCTGCCTTTCAGATTGACCCCAAGATGTTCCAAATCAGCAAGATATTGATTGCAGTCCTCAGCCGACAGCAGATTGAGCAAAGACCGCTCTGCTCGACGAACTGGAAAGAAGCACACATAATTCTTGATTGGAGTTCCATTTACAGACACCAGGAAACACTGTACTTTGTATGAAAGTAAAAAGGTGTTCAGAGGTTCAGCCAATTGCAGCAGCATATCAACACGGTGCTTCGTCAGCTAAAAAGGGCTCACGTCCAAGTGGAAAATCCGCGGCGGGCAGTAGAACCGCATCAATTCCATGCACGGCTAGGCCTCCAGGCGCTACGAACACGTTGGGTAATGAAACGCTTGCCAGAGTAGGACCCACGCCTAGTATTACCCTGTGGTCACTGGCAACTCTGATTAGGAGCGGAAGGTCCTGAAGGGTAGACTGGAGAACCCTTTCTGGCGCTGCCATGAGATCCTGCAAGGACGAAAGTTTGATCTTACTTTTGACATGATGGCCTGTGCTTTTATCCTAGAGAGGCCCTGAAAACAGAGAAAAGACCTGCTCGAATCGCCGACCTTCCTAGCTAGGGGCATCATCTACTACAGCAACGTCCCTTTTTCCAATCAAGTGGAATAAATCCTTTGCATCCGACAGTTGGATATCATTCGCATGCAATGCCAAGTAGGAAATAGGGAGGATTGCAGGCTACTAGTGTTCTTGCAAGGTTCCTCTTCTCAACACACTCTGATAATGCAAGATATACGAAGCTTCTTTCGAAGTTGCTTTCATCAAAAGTACAGAAGTGCAGAACGTGTCTGGTTTGGTAAAGTTACCTCAATGAAAAAGCATCCACTCAGGATGTGATACTGAAGGAGATCGTGGAATATATCTGGTTGGCTTTGCAGGAAGGTGAATATGTCCACGGAAATGGCACTGAATGCTGCGTCAGATGGGACAAAGATTGTCTCCGGAGAGTTGTTCTGAAGTTGGTCGCGAAGCAGAGTCGTAGCCTGAGAAGAGAATGCAAGAGCGTCAGGTCTAGCAAGGCTGTTTGATTCTACGATGTTCGAAATTAGTAGCACTCTTTCGACTGTGAGGCCGTTAAATTTGATGGCCGTTCCGATGATCTTCAAGAGCTTGCATCGAAGCTCATCATACCATCCAGAAGAACAGCTGCTTCTGTCAGCAAAGCAGTCAAAGCACGTGGCGAGAAATATTATTGGTAGGTAAGCCTACCTTGACAAAGAAGAGAAAGGTCTTGTAGTTTCCAGCTAAATCAAGAGCGGCCAAAGCGTCTTGAAACGAGTCCTCAAACGGAGGGGCCTGAGCCAGAACTGAAAATCCACTTGTGGAGCCGCAGAAGAGACAAATGAGGATCTTCCAAATAAAGGCTGGTTTCATTGTGACCAGATTTGCCATCTCTTCCTTTGGTCGCTGACCAGTTGATTAGACTCTATCAGATTATGATTGTGCCCTTCCGCCGGCTTCCTGCAAGCAGTCGGTCAATTCCTGTCAGAGATCTTGCAGCTTGATGTCCCCCGATCTTTTCAAAGACGTTGCACTCTTCGGGTGATGGACAGACGGAAACGAAACCTGAACGGAACTTCCTTCAATCAGATTGTAAGGTAACAAGCGGCGGCGCCTTGCAGAATCGGAACAGGGAAACAGCTATCTCTGCATGTGAGCGCAACCTGACACACGCGTTATGTTGCATTGAAGACTGTCGCGTCGTTCATCTGACCAGCCTTCGTCTCGGTCCCGCTACACTTTAACCGTACACAGTAACATTCAGTGGCAGGCATTATAGGGAGTCAGCGATGGAACACGGCCGTCGCGTGTATTACTGTGCAATCGGGTTCAAAGTTTGACAAAACACTTCAACCCTGTAAAAGGAGCCATGTTTCTGAGTTGCGTTAGCGGTGTCAAATTGTGTAGGATTGATCAGCTGGATCCCTTCTTCTTCCTTGACATGAGGGCAAACCTTAGGATCTGAGAGGCAAACCTTAGGAGTTGATCAGCGGAGTAAGGTCAAATTTGTCGCTACGACAATGGTCTGAAGCCCAGCAAGAAGCGATCGATGAGGCATTCGGGTGTGCATCAGAGTCACATCCTAAATTTGAAGACCGCCAACTCTCAGAGCTTTTCCAATGTAGAAGTAGCAGAGCAAGGTAAAGCCTAGTGTTCGTGTCCAAGGAACTCAACAGACTGAATTCAGATGTCAGCGCGAGGCGTGCGTCTACTACTTAACTGGATAGCACCATCATATTTAAAATAGCAAGATCTGAACGGTTCAAATCCACATGCGCATGATGTGGGCCAGATATGGGCATCGATGTTGCTTTCGAACCACATCCATTTTCTCCGTCTTATAGAAGCGGAAGTGTGAGACGTAGCGAGACATGAGACGAAATATTTATATCTCGCGATTGATTAGTGAAGGATAGAGATTGTGCCTGGAGACTCATGGGGTTGAGGATAGATATTGCCTGGAAACTCCTTGGCTTGCGCTGAAAGCAAGGACGAGCACATTCACACCTGTCGACAGAGGAGAGCTATTGATTAGATGTTTCGTCGAACTAGCACCACTTGCTATTGCCACATTCCAAGGCCGATGATATGTTAGGGAGCGAAGCCGCCAAACAGATAAATTCCTCTTTCGATTTGCTTTCTACAGTTCAAGTGAGTTACATAAAATGTTGTTGTCAAACTGCTCTAGCTTTCTGTTTTATTTCGATGTAAGGCAGGCTGAACGTCTCCATCAAAGTGTGCCCCTAAAACTGGTCGCATATCTACAGCTTAATGTGTCATGAGCGCAACTACTGTAGATGCAAATCATCATTAAATTCATAACGTGAATTTCGTCCAAAAACGATCTGTGGAACACCTACAGCCTACACGGTGCGCGGTATATATATGGAGCGGAATCTATTTGAAAGCAGGTCTCTATGCGACTAAAGACCGTTTCAAGGCATGGTCATGTTGGCAGGCTTAGTCTGGTTAGCTACACCCTTAATATTAGGTGAGGGTTGCGCTCCGTTGGAGTTAGTACCGTTCAAAGAAGTTGCTGCACGCAGAAACGAAGCACAGTATCAGCTACGAAAAGGGGAAAGAAGGAACCCATTCTTTCTTCAGGGAACAAGGCTGGCAAACCAATCTGTTACACAGTCCTCTGATCTTCCAAATCAAACACGCGTTCATTGTGCAAAAGGACATGGACACCTGGCTTTCTAGCTCACCTCAACAATCTCAAAAGGATGACGTCACTTCAAGCGCAAACTGGCCTAGCCTTTAAGTGGCATGGTGCCATCATTACGACGTGTATACATCGTGGAAAGCCGTGACAGACACTTCTCGTTGTAGTGCTTCAAGACAGTTTCTCAAGAATATACAGCTTTCGAGCAAATGGGTGTTAGAGGCTGGATAAACACAATTCCTTCCGTACGGCAGTCAAAATTGCCTCAGAAACGGGAAACGCCGGTCTAGCAAACTCACCGTACACAACGAATCTCTGAGGTGTGAGCACCATGCTGATCCCATGAGTGGCGAAAACTGCTGGAAGCAGAAAGATGTCGGCCTGCGTTACTTTCGCCAGGGGCCGACTCACTCCCACAAAAACGGAACCATCCGACGTGACGGTGGTGTTGATGGTCTGATTGCGGAAGACTGACGTCACCTGTCCGTTGGGGAAAGAAAGCAGTACCTGCGGAAGTGATAACGTGCCACTGGAGTCAAATGGGCAAATCGAATCGCGAGTTGAAATATCTTCAGAGCTTGTTCCGGTCAATTATCATGCAAGCAGTAGTTGCAATTGCACTGTATGATCGGGTTGCAAGCAAAGGCTCTCCCTGCTTTAGCAAGGCAATCCTTCAGGGGACATCAAATTTCTGAGGAGCATGACCGAAGAGATCATGAGGTTGAGTCTCCAGAATGGTAAAATAGTTGCATGGTATGGTACTCACCGCGGCAGGGAGGAAGCCCTTGACAAAATGGTAAGAGATCAGGTTTGTAAGAATATCGGGGTTCTCTTTGAGGCCCTCTACCACGTTGGGGGGGATGACGGAGAAGGCTGCGTCGGTAGGGGCGAAGAGGGTTGCAGGAGGCCTGAGCTCCGCCACAAGCGCTGTGGTGTTGACATAGTTCTGCAAGGAACGTCACGAAGCACTTTGAGCAATCTGTTTGTGACCACAATCAATGATCTGACTGGAGATGAAGCGTGGAACGCTGCCAGCGTATTCTCCTCATCTTCAGATAAAGGCAGAGTGAAAGCTGACACGGGCGTGTAGCTAGGTGTGGGGGAGTCGTGAGATCCAACTCCCAGACTTCAATCATGCCGTCGGTGATTTGCAGGACAAGAAAATGTCAAACGTCTGCTCCTTACGTGAAATAGATACTCACGTCCACGTCTGATATCTTCCAAGAGCCTTCAAAATTGGAGGATGACCTTAGCACTTAAGGGTAACTTCGTTGAGCGTGAGCATTTGTAAACCTCAAAGTCTATTGGTGACGGGGAAATTGGTGAAGCCTTATGCATCTGTTTATCTGGTAAAAAGAAAGCCTTAACAAGAAGATATGTACCGTCAATAGATCCAACAGAATGGTGAAGTTTTTGTTGACTCGGAGCTGAGTGGTTATTGAAGCAAGCACAGCAGCGACAGGCCCAGGCAAAGTAACGTTTGCAGTCCTTGGCGTTGCTAGAGGTGCCGGAGGAGCAGCCTTGATTTGAGCCCCATGAACCCCGTCACCTCCGCCTGCAAAAGATGGTCTTTTCGTTGGAAGGGCTTTCGAACGCTGACAAGCACTCGTCCGGTTGTGGAGCAAAAGCGCTTGCAAATACCGCTCTCATCTGTATGTGACGTCTAGATTGAGAGCTCACAGGCAGGAGGACAACGAAAGTATAAAAGTATTGCAAGCAAGGCAACAGAAAAGAAAAGATCCGGTGACATACCTTGGGTCAAGAAGTTTGGGGTGGACGTGGGGAACGGCTGAGCTGAGGGTTCATCTGAGGGCTGAGCTGACGCCAGAACAAAGCTGAGGAGGAGGCCAAGGAAGATTGGTACCAAAGGGCTCTTGAAAGGAGCCATTTCGTCTTGCCGCTTAGCAGAGAGAAGAAAGCGCCAGGATGCTTGAGGGTGGGAAGGCTGTCACGAAGAGTTCTGATGCAAAAGTTTTTAAAGCTTTTTGTGTAATCCACGAGTCGGTTCCAATCGCTTTGTTACTTGGATCAGGTGCCAGCACTCTGTGGCACGTACAGTCAAAGAAAGGAGGGACCAAGGCAGAATGGCGATCCAGGCATGCACCCATTCATGTGATGCCACGAGGCATCCTTGAAACAAACCAAGGGCACTTGCAGACGTAAGAGGTAAGAAAATGACGTGTTGCTCATTTCTGGGCCACTGCTCCATGCCTCGAATAAACAGTGGTCGGTCCCTGTGGATTGCTCTTTTGCCACGTCAAAGCTGATGACAGCGCACATTTATTTGTTTGCACTTTCTTGTTGGACGGCTCTTGCCATTTTCAGAGGGTCAAAAAAGTTCCCATCTTGCGAGAGAGCTTGCAATTTGCCCATCTTTCGAGATCAATCTTGGACTGATTCCGTTCTTGGTGGAGAAGATCTTCAAAAGTCTTGAAACAGCATCAGAACCGTGTGTAGATGAATGGTAAGAATGACCACCTGGCTGCCTGCTCCGGCCTCGGTGAGCCAGTTTGACAATTTCAAGAGTGTCTAAAAAGAGTTCGTTCCATTCTAGGTTGGAGCTCAAGTCACTCGGCTCGAGCGCGACGTGGTACCGGTGGCGCGAGCGCGCGCACACGGACTAAATTTGAATCGAACAATCCCAGAAACTAGGTTGGTGACACAAACTTCTAGCAGACCGCAACTCGACGTATTACAAGAAGCCAAACAAAACCGGTGGCTTCTAATTCACTCGTCGTCAGCACACACACAATCTTGGAGCAGGTTAGTTTGTCATTCGCCGGAGCAGATGTCCAATGCCCTGTTTGCAGGACGTTGGCCATCGCCAGGAGCGCCCCATCCTGAGTGATCACCTCCAAATTGTATCCGATACAGACTGGCATTGAACTATGTATGGATTCGAAGACGTGCCACAATGTTGTGAAAGCAAAGGACAGAGGACGTTTCGTCACATGACACAGGAATTACGAAACATTTTTGTGTCAGCTTCTTTGAATCCCGTACTTTGTTTTCAAGCGGATGCTTGTAATATCTATGCTGCTTCAAACTTCGACGTAAATCACGACGAAATCCAACCTTTCGACGAGCTGGAAGCAGCTAATGGATATTCGATGAGTAATCAACATGGTCCGAGTATCCAAAGTTCTGCGTTTTCAAGGGTCCCAGATACTTCGATTCTACATCCTCGCATACAGACAAATGAATGATGACTCAATTGCGAATCTGATATTACAGCTAGTCATGAACACCCTTTGACGTACTAAAACGAGGTGGATGCGGCGTCGATCGAAAAAGCAAAAGAGTGCGAGATGCAAATCTTGCTGGCAAATCCCATTAACTGATCATGACATGCACTGCGATGCTGTTTCAGAGAGGGCCTCAAAGAGGCAGCCGGGCGGAGGTGGCGCTGGAAGCGAGGCCAGCAAGACCTGCCCAACAAGTACATCTGCTCTCGAAAATTTCAGGTCTACGCATTGACTCCCAGCTGCTGAAAAGAAAGTGGCTTTAAGAGAAGCAGCCCGGTTTGATGGCGACGCTCCGAAAGAAGGGAAGGATGGAGTTGTTCAAAGCCTCAGAAGACTTACAGGAACGGCGGGAGTTGCCAACGCACTGTCTTGTCGGCCGCCCCTTTTCTTCTGGCCAAGCAGCAGCGTCTGTTGTTGAAGGCAAGGCGACCGAAGGCACGTAAACAAGAGGCCGAGGGCGGATCGCGATCGGCGCAGGCGACAGAGGAGAGGGAAGCGAAACACGCGAGGCGAAGGGAGTTGATACTTCAAGGAGAAATTCCCGGCTGAATGTTGAGGTACCCATCAGTTGAGACCATGGAAATGTTAAAAAATATGAAAGTCGGCCGTTCGGATGTCCAGAAGATGACGGGGGTACATGAAGCCGGGCGGGCTGCTGAGACGCGGGCAACAATTTTTCCAACTTGGGATTCAGAACGGCCGTCCGTAAGAAGGGGCGGAGCAGCTTCAGACGTTTCTAAGTTCGTCATCATCGAGACGAATGAAGATCAAGAGCGAGGGGAGATGGCGAAAATGGCGGATCTAATGAGCGGCTTGCGAGCGGAACCGAAAGCAAACGGCCCCAAGCGCGATGGCTGCGCGGACGCGTCCAAAGTGTCACAGGAGGTAAAAAGTTGGCCTTCATCTGAGTTCAGTGGTAGCGGAATATCTGCCGGCTCCAAAGAGCTCTTTTGCTTGTAGAATTTCGCTGCTTATGAAGACCGCTTTTCCAAGTTTTCAACCCTTCATCTCCAATTCCGTGTTAGAAGT